TATAAAGATGCTCTCCCTCTTTTTATGCGTTCGTCCCTAGTATATAGATACAGTTGTGCGCAGTGCGCATCAGCGTACGTCGGTATGACGTCTCGCAATTTTTACACTAGGCTGGCGGAGCATAAGGGCAGAAGCTTTAGAACGGGAACAATACTTGCGCATCCTCCTCATTCAGCTGTGCGCGTCCATGCCGAGCAGTGCAATGTTCCGGTGTCTGATAGTGATTTCAGAGTTCTAGCTTACACGACCGGTGTTACTGACCTACGGATTTTAGAATCCCTGTACATTTTTAAACAGAAACCTGGTTTAAATGCAGCCTTCAGCTCCTATCCCCTTGAAATTGTAAATAGATAGGCCTGTCTCCTTATGTGTATTTGTTTTTATTTTGTCAATTTATGTTTTTATCTTCGATGTGAATTTAGTTTTCTAATTGATTCGTATTTTCTTATAGGTTTTGAACTTTTGAACTGACGATGGAGCTGGACTCCGAAACGTTTTCATTCTTAAGAAATGGTTAATATTCTGGCTGTTTTCTTTGCTTTTAAATTCCTGGAGAAATTAATAGTATGGATGCTAATTGCAATTGCAACTGGAAATGAAGATGTATGCCTTATAAATAATTTCAATCGACAGTAAATTAAAATGCTGTCTTGCAGAACAAATAAGAGACTAATCTAAATTAGATTCATGTACGCCAAATGCGATGTTTTTGCAATTAAGTCAATAGTGTTCATGAATAAAAACAATAACACAAGCAAAACAGCAACTTCAACAACTAGTCGCCGCACTGAGCTGATGACGGGTGCTAATTGTGAGTCTGAATACATAGTTCATTTCCCGGTACTGATGGTATGCGGAGCGTGATATGCGTCGAAGGTGTTGCATCAGCACAACCTTGAGGGTTTCTTGAGAGATCACCAGCACCCTATTGTTCTACAATTAGATATTTCTCCCGATGAAATGCACATGTAAAAAATGCATATTCTTATTGAAATGTAAAAAATGAAATGCACATTCTTATTGTAAATTCATTAGGTATCGATTTTCAGGCCTTGGAAATGTCATTAAGTTTTTTGCAAGTACAACATTATCAAATTCAAATTAAAGTTTCAATGCGGAAGTGTCTAGCTCGGCTATTTTAACACGAATCTATCTAGATCTGCTGGATCGTAATCTCTATGACAAGACGAATCAATTTCATATTCGGTGTATAAGCTGTTGATTCCAACCGGTGCAATGAATGACATACAAACAAAGTTCCGGTTAAATGTACGATTTATATATATTTCAAATTCACTTTTTGATGAATGTCTACTGGCCTGTTATAAAATTATAGCCCATTGTTGGTTAATATACAATATTATCATGACAGTAATAGTGCATGGATACATTGAATTTGCAATTTGCGATACATTGGCTCCAAATATGAAATATCGCACTAGGATACATCGCTGTTCTGCAAACATCGCTGTTATATTCCAAGACTAGAATATGACGACGGAATGACACCAGACAACATTTCATTAACTGTTCAAAAAATCTTTTTCTGGAAATATGTAGACATCATTAATTCTCTGCAAGTTATTCTCAACTTATAAACAAATCAACTTGAGTTATCTGGCTGTTCTTATCTCAATAATTAGTATTTATCTGACTCCCAGCACATCGAGATATCCTCGCGACACAGAGGGTGGACATAACGAAGGCAGGATAAGCCAATTGACTCTCTCATTTGCCTCTGAGAGGACAGTCCCTCCCGCTCTTGGCTGCCAACAAAAGAGGCGCTGGCCTATAGAGAAGAAAAGACCGCAGATGAGGCCAGTTAGTGGCAGGTTTATCATCACTGGGCCTCGTCTGAAGGGCCATGCAAATGTGAATGGCTTACGTCATAAACTCGGCGCAAGACTTAATGAATGGCACTAAAGTCCAAGGCACGGCGCCCTCTTCCTCAGCGCTATTTTTCAGGCTTCACAACTACACTCAGATCGCCAGAATCGCAGTCTAGTCCGTGCAGAGATTCAATTAAAGCTGCGGCTCTCTGTATGCCATCTTTGTTAATTCAGTGTTTTTTTTAATTATGAGAGTTTATTTCTTAAAAATTAAAATGTATTAGTAGAAAAATCACGAATTAAATCCGACATTGGATCTCATTTTCGAATCAATGCCTAATTGGGTGGGGTAATAGGTGGTTTTGAGATTATTTTAGATGAGACTGTCACACCGACAACACTTCAATACTATTATCAATACTATTATCAATACTATTATCAATACAATTATCAATGCCATTATCAAATAGAAAAGTATTACTATTATCAATTCCGACAACAGCTCAGCATCCTTCCAACGCAACCTCGGCAAGCCACACACGTGCTAAAATATGCGCTGAAAAGCAACACGAAAACCTCATTCATCTCGTATTTCCACTTAATAGCAATCTATGTGAGTTTTAAAATAAATATTTTTCTCAATAGCATCTGGGGATCACAAATCATTCGTGCAGTGTGCGTGTGCGAGTAGCAGCGATGTCGAGACGCAGCCCCGCTAATCCCTCATCAGATCACAGAACTCAGCTCGCTTCAGAAAAGAGCATCTGTTTAGAGTGGCAATTATGAGGTTCTAAGCCGCGTTCTTGTATATAGAATCTGAAAAACGGAGCTTAGGCTAGGCAAGCAAGCCTCGCTATTGGTATGAAGTTCGTCAAGTGAGATCCTGTCTCTAAGCGATCCAGCATGAGATGGTTGTTGGAAGATTTTTTTGCCGTAAGCTTGAAAATATCTTTCAAACTTCATGTAATACCTCGATCTCTGGCAGCTCGTTTGATTCGATACTGGTAAATTTGTCATTTGATGTGTGGAGCGACTAGCGTAGTTTTCGCTCTGAAGCTTTGAGCAAAAGTGGAGCTGTATTTCAGGTCGCAGTAAAATATTTGGTACTTTTGGCGTGTCAATTGAAATCCAGAAGTTCATTCATTTTCTAAGTACAGTTATCATCAGCCATCTGTGGGTATTTATGGTATTTATGAGTGAAATTTAGTCTTCTAAGATATATGGGAGAGGACTGAGGAAGCTGTTGTGGCTGAAACAATTAATGGAAAAGAATAAACTTACATTTAATGTTAGTACGCTTATAGAAGGATTCTTCTCTTAATACAAATGATTCTCCTTCACTATGCATTCCAATTTCAAGCAAAGACAAAATCAAGCTAATTTTTTTACGCCTCATAGAACTCTAGTGTGAATTTCTTTCTTATTTAACGTCTTGTACTGAAATCTTAATTTTCTGATTAAAACGTCGGAAAAACCTAATCGTAATCCTCCCAATGACTCAAAACTTCTAATTTTCATCAGCGGTACCAACTTCCATATTGCACAAAGCGTTGACCTTGGCTCAATCATCCTAGAGATCTACGTATCAGTTCACATTTTTCATGCATGATATATAAGCGTTGTCGATTTCTAGCGTTGGTCTGCAGTTTTGTCGCTATTGAAATAACAACTGCATCATTTGTTGGAGATCATTTTGCTAGAATTCCCTGAATCGGAGCATTTTACGTTTTTGCGTTCAATTGACGCCATCACAGCCAACGGCAATGGACGCTAATTGGTTGCCACCTGCAGTCTTTGATTTAGCTGCCTCCCCATCGCCTGATTTTGTCAAAAATAGCTCGCCATTAAACTAAAAGCTAGAAAAAATTCAGCGCTTCCGTGTCAGTCCACAGAGAAATGATCAGAGGATTGGGCAGAGGTATTCATGAATTTTATGCTTTTATGTTTCATCATTTTTTCCATGCAAGGATCAATGCCTCATAAGCTAGCATTGAAATAGTCTAATAATCATTCATATAATTTAAATCAATTTGACAGAATAATCTTATACATTCATATTTATCCAAGGCAATTCTGGGATCGCATGAAAGAACGATGGGCCTTCTCATTGCGTCATAAATAGCGAAGGAAGCTTGCACTGAAGAATTCTATTCGCCTTTAGCCACCAGTAAATTTTTAATTCAGGGGAAAGTACAAACTAAATATAACTGAAGCAGCAGCAGAGCACTCTGATGTACCCCTCCAAAAAAGAACAATTAGAGACGGAGTTCTTTTATACCAGCGGGTGCTGGAATTCTAGGCTGCGGATCGCCCATCGTAATACGACCGTCTTTCTACCGCGCCGAAGTACCGATGAAAAACGTCGTAACGCCTTCTTTATGGAGTTATAAGAGCTTTATGGATGATTCTCAGTTGAGAACGACTTGATTTAACGTCTGTCCTCAAGTGTTCTGAGCGTCATCTCAAGTGGGGCTGGAGGGAGGTGATTGAGATAAAGGCAGGAGGCATATAAGACTCAATGCTTCAGGTTAGTGCAGTTCCTGTGCCGTGAGATCGCATACCAAACGGTAGGGGGAATAAGGGAATGAATTGAAGTATCAAATTATTGTCTGCATTGATAATTTTGATGATTCGTTGTTTAGGTCAAAATTATGTAGAAGATCGCTTCTCGGCAAGGTGATAACTTCGCTAACAATTTTGTGAAAGTGAGATATTCAAATCGAAATTTAGAACTGTCAGGATTTTAAGCAAGCCCACATTATCACAAAAATGATAATGAAATTCTAAATTTTTATTTCAAGAATTCGGTGGAGAAACCTTACAACACACTACCAAAAGTCGCATTTTGTCTGTTTTCTCTCGATAATCCATTTGAGTACGTCAATATGGACTCTAACAATAATATTTCGTCTGCTCACTCTCCCATGCGCATGCTAAATACAAAACAAATGTAAGCATTCATGTATCTTCCTCATCAAATATTTACTGCGGTGAATAAACACAGAAGTCTCTGCTACATCGTGGTATCTCTAACCCAGCGATACGATGTTATCTCTTCACGATCATCTTCTCTGAAGAGCTGACTTGACCGCACAAGTGCTTATTGCCGCCTTCACACAGCCACTGGCAGTTGCGGTCTCGACAGTATAACTTGATCTCATGTACAACGTAAGAGGAGAAAAGACAATATTTCACAGCATTAGTGTTATCCTGAATCTGAAACATGATGTTATTATCGCAATCGACAATTAACTGTTATTTCATGTAACTCGAGTGTGGAATCTCAGCCTACAATTGAATGCCAGTTTCTCCTGTGTATTAAAGCATTTTATTTCCTTCATAGAACAGATTAGCTATCTCAGATAACGAATAATTAATTATATAACCAAGCGAAACAAATTGGCAAATAATCTTCAATTAAGTCTTTACTTAAGTGCAAGCTTATCACCATGAGACGCACCGCGGTCATCATGCTTGGGACCCTACTCTACATTGGCAAGTTTTCAGTATTTGTTTCAATGTGGTCTGTAGCTATACCAGTGCTTAAAACCCTAATATATACGGTGATACTATTTAACTTCATAGGTGCGACATTCTCTTTCGAGACAATGTTTCACCAATAAAAGGCTCGATGCGATCTAAGTTTTATCTAATTTTACGAAATGTGCAGCGTGCTTCAAACTTTCATTGCAGTCTGCCTCTTCGAAGGAACTTATAAACTCTTACACGCCATGATTATTGAACTAGAGAGCAGAAACAACGTGCCAAATTTTCATTAGAAAACCTTTATAATTAATCATTTTCTTATGATATCCTTGAGCAGGATTCGGAGATGGTCACTTTTTTCAATCGCTGGGAGTCACTGTACCTATTTGAATATAATTAGTTTCAAATGATTTATTCTGAAGGAAACACGAATAATTATGGATTTATGAACGCTGTCAATATTTCAGAATCAATGTAAAAGTTACTGAAACACAATAGAAGTGAATAGATAATAAATAATAATAAAATTATAAAACATAAATAAAATGAATATAAACAGGGTTAGTGAAGTAATCCCAATTGTATGGTCCCCACAGGAGCAGCATCGCTGAGCGAGGCGCAGTACGCACCAACGTGGGAGTCGCTGGACGCGCGGCCGCTGCCCGCCTGGTATGACGAGGCCAAGATTGGCATCTTCATCCACTGGGGCGTCTTCTCGGTGCCTTCCTTCGGCTCCGAGTGGTTCTGGCACAGCTGGGGTGATGGAAAATTTCAGTCATAAGAGATTCAGGATATATATTACCGTTATTACTACAGTTCCAGATACAAGAATTGTAAGAATTGTAATTCGAAATCAGAAAAGTTAGAAGTATTCATTCGCAGTTCCATTTTGTTAATGGAGGGTAATTTTTTTCTCAATTTTGCCTTCGAGCACAAAATCTATGTAGAGTAAAAATAATTAAGACATTTATACATAATTCTGTAAGAGTGAGAAGTCAAGCAATTTCTTTATTTTCCCTATTCCAGTCACTAAAAATCCGGCATATGTGGAGTTCATGGAGAAAAACTACCGGCCTGGGTTCACGTACCAAGATTTTGCTGCGATGTTCACGGCAGAATTTTACAACCCAGTTGCCTGGGCGGACATTTTCAATGCGTCTGGGGCCAAGTACGTCGTGTTGACCAGCAAGCACCACGAGGGCTACACCAACTGGCCCTCCAAAGTCTCCTGGAACTGGAACTCCATGGATGTGGGCCCCAAGCGCGACTTGGTCGGTGAGTGACTAGAATCGCTTCAAACTGAATATTTCATTCTAGAAGTGACTATTTTCTACAAGTGACTATTCGATCTACAAGTGACTATTCCATTCTACAAGGGACTTCTCTATTCTACAATATACTATTCTGTTCTACGGAGAAATGGAGTAACTAAATCTTTATCTAGTTTGAGCAAACAGTATTCAGAGATTGCTTAATCGTGTCCCTGATTGCTTTGTTCGTCACAGTTAACAAGGTACTTTGCTGAATTATGCACATAGAACGTAGTTTACATCCTATATATGGGTTTTAATAATTATTCCTACTTTATATATAATTCAAAAGTAATTCGGTCACTTTCCAAAAATTATTCAGCTAACACCTTACTGTTAATATTAATTGGATCTATCAATGTTTATACGAGTCCATTTTTTATCAGTCGGTGTTTTCGTACATTATTACATGGCACCTGTATAACTTCAATTCCACACGAAGTTATGCTGTATTGAATTTATTAACGAAATGACACAAATCAACTTATTTAGAGGTTCATTTATGGAAACGATGCAGGTGAGCTGGCCACCGCTATCAGAACGGTTCATCCTCACCTGCATTTCGGACTCTACCACTCCCTCTTCGAATGGTACAACCCCCTCTTCCTGCAGGACAAAAGTAACGGTTTCCAAACCAACCATTTCGTGAAGACCAAAACCATGCCTGAACTTATGGAGCTCGTAAGTAGGAATTAAAGAGTGAGCATAGCTAAGACCATCAGTGCAGGAAAATGACGTTGAAACAGCGGTGATTGTGAGTTGATTTCGATGTAATAACGTTATTTCAACGCCAGATGCCTGGTTTGATTATTCCTATCGATGACGAACTACCCGAAATAAGTTTTCAATAAGTTTAAAAATGTATCGAACAAATATGAGTTACGCAGTAAAGAGTTTACATTGAGAATTTTCGATATATTTTCAAGTTCCGCAATTTTAAGTTTAGGAGCTTTAAAATTAAAATTCTGAGTTTAAACTTTTATTCTAGTGCTATTCTTTGGTAGTGCTGAAATACTGATGTTGTGATTTTCCTTGAAGGTGACGAAGTATAAGCCAGAAGTGATCTGGTCAGATGGCGACGAAGATGCTACAGACCAATACTGGAATTCGACGACCTTCTTAGCGTGGCTCTTCAACGACTCGCCGGTCAGCGAGACGGTCGTTGTCAACGATCGTTGGGGGAAGGGCGATGCCTGCAAGCATGGATCGTTCTACACGTGCTCGGACCGATACAATCCAGGTGACGAAAAATCTAGTTGTCGTTGAAATGTTAGTTCATAATTTAACGTATTTTTATATTTTACTTTTTCATATTTTTTGCTATTTTTTACATAACTTAATGATACGAAAAACCCAAGTTCATAATTTACCCATTTGCTCAACGAGAGTCAAAATGTTGCTGTTTTTATCTCAGGTTTGCAAACGCTGAGTTTTTTATAAAAACTAATTATTCCAGCATTGATTCCTATACATCCCGAATGTCATATACCAAGGGAATTAAAAAATTTAAATGACAAATCAGGCGTGGCACAGCCTCACAAGTGGGAGAACTGCATGACGCTGGACAAGCGGTCGTGGGGCTACCGTCGCAACGCACCAGCCACCGACTACCTCACCATCCACGACCTCATCACGATTCTCGCTGAAACCATCAGCTGTGGAGGTGATTCTACTCATACCGAGCAAGTGATCTCTGGCTTTCATAAACACCCACGGGAAATTAATTCTCTTGAGCGATTAAGCAAAATTATACGGTTTTGTGCCTACATTAGCAGTTCTCATGGCCCAAGGTGAAATCCCGTTTCAATTCATTCGAACTGGATCTGCGATCGTACATTTGGCGCTACGCAATAGCTGGATAAACCACATTGACTATGAGTGCAGGCAATTTTTATGTAAACATGACCTCGCGCAAGTGGTAATGATTTTTGCCATCATTGTCTAGATAATAGATTTCTATTAGTCTCACCGTGCTATGCAGGCAACTTGCATGGTTCCACCCACGACGGGATGATCCCCGCCATCATGGAGGCCAATATTATCTTAACCGTACGCTTATGCAGGCAACTTGCTGGTTAACATTGGTCCCACCCACGACGGGATGATCCCCGCCATCATGGAGGCCAATATTATTTTAACCGTACGCTTATGCAGGCAACTTGCTGGTTAACATTGGTCCCACCTACGACGGGATGATCCCCGCCATCATGGAGGCCAATATTATCTTAACCGTACGCTTATGCAGGCAACTTGCTGGTTAACATTGGTCCCACCCNAATAATTTCCACTTTCTAAATCATTTCAATTTTATAAATAATATCCACTTTCTAAATCATTTCAATTTTATAAATAATTTCCACTTTCTAAATCATTTCAACTTTCTAAATAATTTCCACTTTCTAAATCATTCCCTCCCCCTTTGCCCTGCGCAGTTCAAGGAAGTATGGAAGGGCCTGCAGGTGATGTTACCGCAGCAATCGAGAGTTCGCGGCCGCTGGGCGTGGGTTCTGAAGATGACCGATGTCATGCCTGCGATGAAATCGGACAAAGCGACGAGCCGTTGGGACATACTGAATAAGTTGTTGAATCTTTGAATGGCGGAGCTAATTGTTTGAAGATTATAAGCAATTAATTATTTGAACACCTTCAAAAGATTGAATGATTTTAAACCATTGGCATATAGCGTAGTTTTTTTATATAAATGTACCAATCCTTACTAGCGGAAATATTGAATTAATATAAATCAACTCGTTGTCTTTATTAGAATATTAACGCTGCTCATAACTGAATGCAAGGTTTCATCAATATTCCTGGCATGTTCATTCCGAAACATTTACTTTGCTCTGCCGGCATTATTTGTAAGATTTATATAAATTTAGGCTGAGTTTAATGTGTCTCTTTTTCATATTTTTTACGTGAACGAGCGCTTTAAAAAAATTTCACTGAGACAAGCTGCTTATGTCATACGCCAAAAAAGTAAATAACTACAATCGGTGTAGTTTTTTAACCACAAGGTATAATCTGGCAGGCAATCAGTATAAGGTCTCTAATTATTAGTGAAAAGACATACCGTAGGTAGGATTCACTTACATTGTCGGGCCTGTCAGCTGCCGTATCAGCTGAGACACCGCATATAGGCCTATAGTGATCGTTCTTTAGTACATTGCGCTGTCTAACTGTTGATTCTACAACCACGAATTTTAAAAGGGCACTTGTAAACGTTTAAGTTCAATAACTTTATTCAAGAATTAGGTTAATACAATTAATCACAAATCGGTACAACGGAAGTTCATGTAGGACTATAGCTTATTGATTAAATAGTTCAGACACTGGACACGTAAAAGGCTAGCGTATCAGGTGCTATAGTAATCACTGTATTCGGCGCCGCGTGTCTCCGCCAACTGACTCTCCGGCTATCCGCCCAACAACCAACAGTTTCCGTTTTCTAATTTTACTACACAAAACTAGTCCAGATATTTAAGCTTACTGAAGCATGTGGAAAATGCTTTTTCCAACAACATGGGTCATCACTGACAATTCCGGAACCAAAAAATCGAGCAAATCGTTTGCCTTCAGAAGTGATCAGAAAACGAAGGATTCTTGAAAAAGCCTGATATCTTGGATCTAAACGTTTTAGTAAAAAACAATCTATCATAGATACACGAACTATTATAAGTTCTTTGATACAACATTCCCAAAACTATGAAACTTGGGTACACGCAAAACTGGAACTGAAACTTTGGTTTGCCACAAAACCTTATATATCAAGTAAACACTAACAAAACTCTCATCTGTTCAAAATCAACTCTCTCATCAAAACTCTCATCTGTATAAAAAAACTAAAAAATTTTCTCATTTCAAACTTGGTTTATCATCCTTCATTCTACAGTCTACATGATGTAATTATCCTAAGCCCAAGCATTATAAAATTTATATACTAGAATTCAAATTCCTATCAAAGCTTAATAGCATTACCATGTATCAAAGCCATTATATTTTTTTAAGTTACCCAATGATTTCCGTTCTTCAGCAATGTTTCCTACGGCATCCAAGCCCATTTAATACTTTTAAACCATTTAAAATTTCTTTGGAAAATTTTCCAATCGTATTATCTATTTCATGTCATCCTTAAGACTTCATTTAATTAAAATTTTGAAATAGCCCACATCAATCCTCCTCCCGTGACATAACCCACATTAATCCCTCTCCTGTGACATAACCCACGTCAATCCTCCTCCCGTGACATAACCCACATTATCACGCCTGGGGTCTTGTGAGTACTCTGAAGCCGGGGGTCTTGCGAGAGCACCAGGGTCACTGCACCTACGCCTTAGTCAGGTGAGTGCAGTTGCTCCTGGTGTCTGGCAAGTTCGCCCATGCTATTCTTTTGACTGGATAATGTTCCATTACCTGATCAGAAACTTGGAATTTAACATCAAAACCTAAAGTTATTTCTCCTAAATCACTATGAACAGTAAACGAATAACCTGACTGACTGTTAATAAATGTCTTACGTTCAGGTTCACGAGTTCGGGTGGCGCGGTTTACGGTATCGTGTTGCACTGGCCTCAGGACGACCTGCTCACCCTCGCCTCCGTCAGCAGCACCGCCAGCACTTCCATCACCATGCTGGGGGACAGCCTCCAGGAGGTCTTGAAAGTAAGACAAATAAATAAATGACTATACCTCTCTAGTACCTCCATCACCATGCTGGGGGGCAGCCTCCAGGAGGTCTTGAAAGTAAGACAAATAAATATATGACTATACCGCTCTAGTACCTCCATCACCTGTCTCTTATACACATCTAGATGTGTATAAGAGACAGACATAACCCACATTAATCCCTCTCCTGTGACATAACCCACGTCAATTCTCCTCACGTGACATTACCCACATTAATCCTCATCCCGTGACATAACCCACGTCAATTCTCCTCCCGTGACATAACCCACATCAATGCCCACGCAGCCCACATCAATCCTGACCATCTCGCTCGTCTCTCGACAGCTCCAGCCGAGATAACGAGGCTTGCATTTGCTCGCGAATTTTGAGAGTCGCGCGGCTGAGCTCTTTTGATGTCGCGTCTTTTTTGTGCCCAGGGCTTCATTAACTTAATTTATGACATCCTTTGTACACCCAACGTCTTTGAGCTTCGACCATTCTATTATTAAAATGAGGGTTCTCGGTAGAGTTATTCTAATTTTCCAGCATTAGTGTTATTGAAGAGAAAAATCGTAAATCTTATCTGTTTTTTTTTTTGTTAACAATGCGTTTTGTCGAAAATTTTCGAAGTGCAAATACTTTGTATTTGAAGTCTCAGATTCTTTGTGGTTATATTTTGTTGTTAATTATTCAAACTAGCATTGAAAAGCGACATTGCTCACAATAGATGAATCATGATATTTGAATACTCAATTTGTCATATCTCATTTTCCTAAATCCTTTTCCCGTTGATCTCTTTTCTTCAATTTGGAAATAGTCAACAATTAGATTAAGAACTACATTTATGAATATCCTTACTTGCAGTAGGAAGATATGAATGATTTCTTACATTCATCCCGTAACGCGCAAACGTCCAATTCTCAACTGATCTTCAGCTTAATTTTGCTTGTATAATATTTTAAATTTTCATCTTAATGAATTCGACTAAACATTTTCTTTTATGCTGGAATATACAGTTTAGTATAAATCCCCAGTTAGTAGTTTACTTTGTTCGGCCCTTGCAAGTCTTAAACATTCCATATTAAATTGAAAGTGGAGGTTTCCTCAGTAGAATATTGCACCCGTGGACGTCTTGCACGACCACCAGCCATTACTTGCAAGCAACTGTTATTCAAGACCGCACGCCAGTGAGCGTGAAGCATAAGCCCATCAGTTGCGTTTGTTTCAGCCCCTAAGACGCGTCTCGCTGGCGCATTGCTGCACAAATTGCAGCGCTTGGGGCCGAGACAATGCCCTGCAAGAGCTGTTTCGTAATTGCCTTGAGAGCAGACAATGGTCGTCGACTATCGAGTTTCTCTGAGCAAACAGGCTCGTGGCAGCTAGGCGATAGGCCACCTAACGAATGGCGCTGCGCGCGCTAAGTGTCAATATTCTTTGACGTGAGAGCCATGCGAACTTCTCCCGCCGCCCCGACCAGCAATTATTCTCGGACACCAGAGCTCAATTTTGCACCAAAGACTCGTTGTTGAATGCGGTCTTTTGAAGTCGCAGGAAAGGATTAGTGTAGTACTCTCAAATGCAGCCTTTGGCAACGGCAACGGAAGACTAGGATCACTGACGCATCCACACGCTGGTGAGAATCGGTAGTCTTCGAGTTATGGGGCATTATACTTTTCATTTAATTACAAGTAAAAACTACGAGTATTTGCACCAGTGAAAAGCGAAACGGTTACCAAAAAGCACTCAAATTTAATTTAAATTGCCCAGAGTGTCCACAATTTCTTCAAGTTCAAATGAATACTTGACTAAATCGCGGAGAATATGAAGCGAGCAATGGATAAAATATCCAAATTTCATGGTTTACCACGTTTTGTCTTCCCTATACCTTTACTTTCGTCTTATTTTAAACAGTGTGTTAACTGAATCAATTTTTTTATTCGGTCACATAAAATTGTATATATTAATTAATTAAACGAATTAATCGCTCAATTAATCGAACAGCTCTTACACCTGAAAAATCTTTCTGGTCAGTTCTGCATCATCTCACAAAGTATTCCCCTTACCCCTTTCAAAGCAACGCTATTCTAGGCTATGCAAAATCTAAACTAAACTTGCACTACACAAGAGATGTAAGTTAATCAAGACCCGTCTGGACAGGTACCGAGGATCTCCGAGAAATGTTGTGGGGTGACTCGCGTTCTCCTTGCCATCCAATTAGACAACTTGTTACCTTCAATGTTCCTAGTCGGCAAATGGATGCGTTCTTAGAAGGATTCCCAAGCGCCTCCTCGCACGTCAGTCACGCGGTGATCCATCCCTCAACCTAGCGCGCTGTTTATGATCTCCAACTCCTAGTATCCATTGTTAAAAAAACATCCTGTGTCAATGCAATCCAAGAAATTCTGAGCTAAGAAACAACGACAAAACTGCACTAAAGGCTGAAATATAGGCTGAAATTATAGGCTATAATTTGAATTCATTTATTACAAGAAATAAATCAACCTGAAGTTACTACAGATCGGGGAATTTTAGTGGTATGCTGAAAGAGTTGACGAATACTTCTGAAAAATACGTGTCTAACAAGGAGATGTACGAATCAGGCTAGGCATGGCCAGCGGTCAAATTCTGAAATATTCTGAAACGATAAATCAAAACTTTAAAAATTCTCTATGCGGGAAATTATCCACCTCATTTTATAGCAGCGTTTTTACTAATACAAATGACACGACCGCACAAAATTCTCAAAGAAAGTAAATAACCTGCATTGATCTATGGGCCCAATGCAAACTAATGACGGTATAGTTAAAGTTTACGAAATCCATCATTCTTCCCAGTGAATTGCTGGGAGATTGCCAGATCAATATACGAAATTTAACCTGTTTCAAGTCGTGTGGTATTCTGATTTCGACGTAACGCCAGTCCCGTTTATAGCAGCCAGTCACTTTTTTGCTTCGTTGCATCGGTTCATTTCGCGGTTGTCGCACGACGGCCGATCGGGCTCACTGTAGCGCCTTCCAAGCAAATGTCGAATGTATGCAATTTTTCGAACAATTTGTATGATAAGCAACGGTTGGTAGTGGCTGTTTTAAGCATAACTTGGTGTTAGTTATACAATTTAACTGAATTTATTTTTATAGAGCAGTAGCTAGTCACCGATAATTGTTTCTCTTTGTTTCAATGATCTCAATGCGCTGTAAAGGTAAACCCAAGGCTGAAATCATGCCTCCAAGCCCGGATCTGCGTCTACAAGTGGCACAATATTTTCCTTTCTTCCTAAACTATTTGCAGACTCGTAAAGCTCGCAAGAACATTAAAATTCTGGCCCGCCTTCTTTGAAACTCGCGAAACTCCTTGAGTAAAGAGCCTAAGCGCTTTAAAGTCTTAATACGGGACCTTAAGCATCAGGTCTTGTGGCCCTCCTGGCGCTTGACTCTAGCTGTGTTGTTCGCGCGACGAGTTAGTTTTATTTCAAGCCTAATTAGCCTGCAAGCAACGTAGGTTGTAACTCGAGTGCTTTATGCAAAACTAAAGCAAGTAAGAAGTTCGTCATGTTAATGACTTGTTTTCCAACATCACATTTATGAGTGCATGGCAATTAGAGGTTCGCTCCTCCACAGACTGTGTTTGCCCTAAAGAAGTCATTTTTTGCTGGTGTCGAAGTCGCAGGAGCAAAGACTCTTGAAAAGCCAAGAAATTTTTCTTTGAACGCAAATCGTTAAGTCTGTTGCACATAGTAGCGAGAGTGTAACACATTTAGATGATTACCAACATAAAATGGTGTATAGATGAAGAAATGAAACAACTATAGTGTGTAGCCTTGCATCGATTCAGATGATAATCCTTTCATATCGATACAGATCTGCCAGAGGATTTAAAAGAAATGTGTGCTTGAAATTTTGAATCTATAAAATCTGAACTCACAGGCATCGAAAGAAAAGCCATGGCGGCCCGAACAGTGAGCCTTTGGAATTGGCTTGCAAATTATTGTAAATTATTCAGTGGATTGCGACGAGTCTTGATGCTCGACCTGCAAAATTTTCATATTTTTTTAATCAATAATACTAATAGGAAATTAATCACACACGATGCATGTACAAATAACAAGTATTGAAGATTATCCGCTCTGAATATTTACCTAAATTATCACTACTGCTTATCTTTGGCGGATAATAATACTAAATCCATTTGTGTGCATACATTTCGTCATGGTTAATTAATAATTCATAATTCCTAAAGACAGTTTCAATCGTGAAGTGCCCATTAATTTATACCGATATTCAGATCGTTTCTTCGTGAATATTTGATGGTTACAGAGTGCATCACGACAAAAATAATATCATATTCAAACAATATGAAGCGTCGGCTACTATTTCAGAGAAATCAGTGCTTAAGTTTAAATAATTCTATTCTGATCAAATGAAGTGACGTGGCCATCAACTGGTCTGGATACTCTGGTCCTTATTTCCCGAGTTTATTATAAGCTGAACTCTTGGTCTGCAATTTCTGACACTTCAAATGAATTTGCTGCAACATTCCACAAGAAATCATGAGCATAATTTCAATCACATATAAATTAATGTTGTTGCATATACTGTTTAAAAAGTACCGTACGTAATTGTTGAGAAATGCTGTAATTCTAAAAATGTGATATATACCGTATTATTTTGCTAATCATAATTATACATTTTACCTATTTGCTTTAACATTTAACCTTGAACTTTTAACTAACCTTAGTTTCTTATATTTTTATAGGCTATAGCCTATAAAAATATCATCTAGACGGATCATCTAGACGGCATAACGATCATACGCATATGGCTCTCATACCACAGGACTCTATCATTATGTGAATGATTAGCGAGTTAAATACATTATTATTCTTAGTTTAATTTAATTCAATTTTATTTCTTGTCAATTTGTCCGAATATGACAATTAAAATTGAATAATTTAACCGATAATTCAATGCTATCAGAAATGATCAGCATTACAGTGAACATTTCAGCCTGGAAACTGTATCTCATAAACTTCAAAATAATATAATAACTCGTAGATATTTCAGCGCGCTTATTACATTAATGACATAAAATAACCTTCTTTTGAGCCATTCCAGTTGATAAAAACATTTTTTGACAAAGCCCGCGTTTCTATTGTGGCAATGTTCAAATAAGGGGAAGTGCTCCATGAAAAACGAACTCTTGTATTTTCTGCTTCAACGAAACTTCGGTCGCACAAAAGTTGTCGGCGTATCGTTAATTCGGAAGATTTCTTGCTCAATTCGACTGGCCGCTCCTCGTGAGGTGAACGCAAAAGTTCTAATAGCCCTCTTTACCCGGCACATTTTCCGTAGGAGTTTATCAAA